AAATATACCAAAATTTAAGTTAGATATCGCTGGATGCAATTAAACTCGATTTATGGTTCTACTGCTTATTGTTTCTGAGTTACAAGTAATCAAACAGTTGTACTTTTTTTTGCGCCACCCGGTATATATATAAAAGATTGCGTTGCAAGTTAGAAAAAAACATGCATAGTTCAAGACTGTAACATCATCTTTAGTAGCCCGGGGGAATTGACAGTTTAGGAATAAAAAATACGTAAACTCCCAGCGATAATACAGTCATACAGACACTTCTACTCCATACGCCATTCTAAACGGACACCTCTTTAATATCAACGCCTTTCTAATAATGCGGGCGCCTTTCTAATGTATTGTCCTCATTTGATCGATTTTCGTGTTTGAAAACGCATTGTGTGTACGCCAATATTTGTATGCGTTTTCGAAATATCAAAAACGAAGAGATTCGAAAACGGATTAGTGTGGACGTAGCCTACCTTCCCAATGCGGATACCTCTCTAATATGAATACCTCCCTAAAAGAGACACCTCTCTAATACGGACAGTTCTCTCATACAGACACCTCTCTGATAGTGTTAATGTGTATTCTATGCGAGGTACATGTATATAATTACGCTTTATTCTTCCTTATTCAGAAATTGAACGCCTTCTGAGAGACGAAAAGATTTATGTGGAGTTCAAGTATGCCTGGCACTTCCTTTTATCAAGGCTTGATATTTTCAGCTATGAAGCGAAAGTAAAAATGGTAGACGTCTGTTTAAAACATGGAGCGAAGCCAAGCAACAGGGGAGGTCCTGGGGTATCTGGCCTAATGCTAGCGTGTGAGAAGCTAAATGATCTTTTTATGTATCCGCCTGTGGTGGAACAGATGGTGTCGTTACTCTTGGAGCACGGAGCTGAAGTGAATCAGCAGGATTTTTATGGGCGTACTGCGCTTCACTATGCATTTAAATGCATACATGACAATCATCTTTTTCTATTAAAAAACCTTGCTCAAAAACAACGTATTGTTAAAATCCTTATTCAGCACAACGCAAACATTTATCTAAGAGATTCGTCTGGGCTTTCCGCCATTGATATGGCTAAGCGTGAGGAACACGAATCTTGGTTAAAAACCGACGAAGCATCATTGACAGGGACATGATCGAGATCCTGCTCCGAAGAAAACTAAAGCCAGCTTCAATCTAAACTATAGTCCCTTATTCAAAAGAAAGCAGGACTCGTACGAGAAACTCTTTGTCTCTGGAAAACTTACATCTGTATTACTTGGAACCCACAAAATAACCTTAGCAACCAACGCACGTATGAACTTTCAATTACGTACACTGAATCGTTAAATTTAAAAGACTTTCTATACCATCCACGCTATACCGTATTTATCGTCGTAAGTCAGTTGTTGTATGTAAATGGCAAACATATAAGTAATTTTACTTATATGTGTAGGTAATAGTATGGTTTCCAGAGCAACTTGTCTTTAATAATAAATATATGATTGTTGAACCAACAAGCTTACTGTTAAAAATCCTTAACTCATTACTGACAAAACATAATACATTGTCAACCTAGCCCCCCTGTCTCATATAGGATTTTTCTGTGTGAAACAGTTGGGTTATTTCAAGAAGAAATGCAATATATCGCTATAGTATTGAAAAAAAGTTCATCGGGATGAAATTTTTCATTGTCAAAGTTGCCTGAAACAGTGGATATAATGTCATTAGATGAATTGTAAATCAATGAGGTTTTGTAACAACCTCAAATAGGGTTATTTGCACAGGTTAACCCGCAATTGCAACCATTGCAAATCAATGAGGTTTTGTAATAACCAAAGTTAATAGTAAGTTAACCACGTGTATGTTGGAATGTTGGTGCGAGCTGTCAGCGACGTCAAACTGATCAAGCTTGTCTGATGTTAATCAACTGTTCCGGGCGTGATCAAGTCATTGAAGAGATTCAGATTTCACTTCCACTACCGCTACCTCTTACTGGCTTAGTACGCGTCTGATTGGTTAATAGGATATATCAAACGCATCTGATTGGTTAATCGGATATACCAAACGCATCTGATTGGTTAATCGGATATATCAAACGCATCTGATTGGCTAATGATCCCTTAATGGTAGTGGTAGTGGATCGGAAGTCAAATCTGAACGTCTCTAATATTCTGCGAAGCACTCAAAGTGTACGGTACTCTTGCTGTACAACTTAACGTAAAATCCCCACCACCCACCCCGTTCATCAAGTAAAATTGTGTTCTTTACCACCAATTTTATTGATGTGATAGGTGCAAGCTGAACGAGTGTGGTTGCCAGTTCAAGGTACCACTTGCAGTGGATCTTTCCGTTAATCCAAGTACCAGCGCTCGTTTCCAAGCCTCCCGGAACCACAGCTTGTTCCCAGGCCACCTCGGTTCACAGCTTCCAGCTAACCTTCCAAATTGGTCAGTACGGTATTCCAGCAAATGTTTGAATATATAATATTTGCTGGTACGTACTGTAGTATGGTTAATGCAGATATTAACCGGTTTTCCTTTGCTCTTTTCTGTTAAAACTTACCGGCTAATGAATTCCATCATATCCGGAAACTTTGGCTTTGTAAAAGTTGACCAGGACATGCTTTTGATACTAGAAATATATCAGAGATGTTAATAGTTACGAAAGTAGAGTTACTTTTTTCACCATCCCCAAGTTTGGAAGAGGCATTTTTTTCCCTCTTGGGTAAACGAAAAAAGGTCTGACGAAAAACCTGACAATAAGGTATGTAAGGTTTTAAAGCCGTTTAGAACAGAGGAAGGGTGATCTGCCTATTGTTTTGTCGTTGCATTTTTGAGGGGAAATTCTCAAAGAGAAAAACAAAAATTGAGAATTTTTTGAGAATCTCATTTTTGCGAATTTCTTCCTTTCGGAAAAGGGCCAAATTTGTTTCCTCAATCCCCCGACTTTTTACCACCTCCAAAAGGGGGAGCAAATAGTAATTATATGCACCCCTGAAAGATGTGTTACATTTCTCAGAGATATTGAGAATAACCCAAACATTATATACATACACAAAATCATAATTGGCGCTAGTGTCTATAGTGCCACTTTAACTGATACTGACACGAAATAGCTGGCATTTCTAATTTTGAAACATTCAATACATTCAACAGAATCACTCGTGTGCAACCATGTGTATTCCGCATACGCAATTTCTTGCGACGAATTTCGTCGTCGTGGCATCAGACCTTTATAAGAGAGGCGTTCGCTTATTAAAAGCAGACTTCAACGAAGTGTTTCAACCACAAGTACACTAAGTTTGCCATGAAATGTGTACAGAATCCTCGGATCCCCCCAATATTTTCCCTTCATTACAATTACTACAAAGTTTCTTTCAAAACTTTGCAAACTTAAAAGGGTATTTGACACAGATATGAATGGCTATCACTGTTTCAATTTTACAGAAAAACTTTCTTACGAAGTGTAAACCTTAAGCTACCAAAAAATGTCAAATTTTCACTTTGATCTATCATTGAAACTTTCCCAAGGGGAAGTGCATGACTTTTCAGGCGGGGTGCAAAGATTCTCAGGGAAGGTGCGCACCTCCCCACCTCGCCTCAAAATCCGGCCTTGTTATGGTGTATTTTTATTCGGGAGAAGCTAAAAATTAATACAAACTATAAAAAACGTTTAGTAAAATTTCTGAGCAACACGTTTTGCAGTTTTAGTACTTTGATTCTACAAAAAGAATTTAATAACTCGACCGAAAAATAGGTCTTTTGAAGATAGATCCCAGACTCCGGCGCGTTTAAATTAATATGGTGGCCAGCGTGAAATCTCAGGATTTAGTCCGCTTTTAGCTGCTGGTAATTACTGTGTCTGTTTTACCACTGGAGCACTATTTCTTGATTATATATAGCTCAGTTATTACCTGGTAGAAAAAGTATGGTCGCACTGTATGTAATATTACACAAGTAATGAATATTTATGAGCGCAATGGTAAAAATATTTTCATTCGCTCAAAGATGGAATTATCCATTCCTCGAGGCGGCAGCTGAGTGGAATGAAAAATTCCATTATCTTTCACCGAATGAAAATATTTTTTCTATTGCAGGAATAAAAACATTTACTACTTGTTTTATACGACTATTTTTTTTTTCAAGGCTAAAAGCAAATAGTAATGGCTCATAGTAGACTAAGTGATCCAGAACATAGAAACTGGATTACTGTTGGTCGAGCAGTTCAGGTTACCCGGAACGACTTAGAAACCATAATTCGAAATGCTGCTGACAAGTACCACACATCACTGCTTGCAACATTGTCAAATAATGTACATGCGTGGAAATCTCATTTCTCGAAACCCCATCGGTCAACTGATAAAAGAAAAATATTCTGGAGTTACAGTGACAACACTCAGTGGTTGACCGTTGGTGCCTCATGGGAGATTGCTAAGATTTTCATGGCTCCCTTGGGACCGAGAAAGCTTGATGTAGTCAACGCCAAAACTACTGATATATCGGGACTGTTGAACGTATTAGAATGGTCTCCGAGAGGGACAAATGGTATGCTCAACTCAGGTGTCGATCTCTTGAAAAGAGCAGATGCAAGAAGTGCTAGGGATATTTGGCACAGTTGCTGCATGTATGTGATGCTGATAAAGTCAAAGCGTTTGGATCTTTAACCTCGCTTCATCAAGACCCAGAACTGTACCATGACAAAGATGTCCAAGACGCCATAAACAAGCTTAGTAGTTTACTCAATAATGGTTTCGCGGTTATTGAAGAAAAAGGATTGGAAGTACTCGCTCAGTTACAACATGAACTTGGTCAGGATATCAACATTTTGAAAAGTGATATGACTTTTTGGAAGGATTAAGTGGAGGTGACCTTGGAGCAGATTGAAGTTCTAAGGAAAAGCTTGGGTGAATTTGTAACAAAGAACGAACTACACGACGCTCTGGAAATTGTCAAGAAAGAAATCAAAGACGGGAAAGTGTCTACGAACAGCCAACTGGAAAAGCTAGAAAAGGCTAAGTCGGAGCCAAGAAAAGGATTTGTGACGGAGGTCAGAGCTAAAGTTCAATCCAGTCTCTGATCGGATGAAGGAAGAATTTGTCGGTCGTGAGTGGTTGTTCAGGACATTGAAAACTGGTTGGAAAAAGACCCTCAAGCCTCGGGAGTCACGTGCCTTCCTTATCTGGGGCGGTGCTCGTTCGCCCAAGAGTTTGTCCGTCGGCACGAGGGAGAAAAATTGGGTGGATAACATTACTGTAAAAAAGATAATTATCGCACCTGCGATTTAAAATCGTTAGTCGATAGTCTCAGCAATATGCTCCCGAAGAGTCTTCCCAAATATGCTGCCCTTGGTTGAGAAACTACACACTGATCAATTTAGAGATGATCCGCACTGTTCGATTTGTTAATTACCACGCCATTGCAGCAATTGAATGAAAGTACCAGACATTTTCTTGTCATTGACGGCTTGGATGAAGGAGGGTCCATGGTTGCTTCTTGCTTTGCCAGATTATCACGAGCACTTCCTTCGTGGCTTCGCGTCATTTGACCGCAAGACGCAATGCTCCCGCTCTATCGGACCTTTTTCTAAATTCCTCCTTTGCTAACTAGACCAATTTGAGACTATTCCGAAGTCCCTGTCTAGCAAAGATGTTCGTGAATTTGTCTCCATGAAGTACAGAAATCTTCAAACTGAATATAACTGTATTCCTTCTTTTTTTGCTAATAACGAGCAAGTAGGCCAAGAGAAAATAGTTAAGGCTAGTCAGAAATGCTTTTTTATGTTAAATTTGTGATGGAACACATCTTTGATGGCCATGATGAAATTTGTTTGCCTGCCTCGTTATCTAAGATTTACTGCTTGGACTTCAGGCGTCACTTTTCAGATATAGAATTCTTTGAGAAAAAATTTGCACCTGTGCTTCAGATTGTGCTTGCCATTCAATCTGCTAAGGCTTTTATAAATAAAGAAATAGGTATAAAAGTTTGTTTAAATTTCGCAACTTCCCATCCTTCTATTTTTAATGAAGGTGACATAATTCACTTACAGAAGCTGAAGCAGGATTATGAGGAGAGGAATGAAAGTGTTACAGAGGTTGTGAAGTGTGGTTTGTTGTCTGAAATTAAGATACATGATCTCAATAAAGTCCTCAAACTTCTATCAGGCTACTTAATAAAGGACGATTCTAGTAAATATTATTTCAGCCATAGTTCTGTAAGAGATTGGTTGCAAGACGAAGAGTCAGATTTCTTTTGCGATGTACTCAACGGGCACTCCATTATGGCAAACTATAACTTGAAAACTCTTAAAGTTAAGTATCCTTCACCAGAGGATTTTGGTGAAGATTTATGTTTTCGTCCGAAACAGCCATACCCTGTTGCTCTTCTAGACCTCAAATTCCTTTCTTTGCGTTACCTCTTTCATTCCAGTGAGAGCGGAAGTTCAAACGTGAATGTTCTGATATCTGAATTAGGTATTAAATCAATCCGCCTTCTTCATGCCGCATTTCACAGTAGTGTTCACGGTTGGGGTCGTCTCATTTGTTCCAAGTATATGACAATGAAAGTTCTCGATGAAACAAATGTCTTGAATAAAATGACCATACCGGAAAAATCTGAATATCTTGAGCTTGCTCTTTTTTGTACTTTGCAAGAATTACTGCCAAATTATTTGATAGCCGCACATACTGGATTTTTAGTGATGACGTCATGAGTGCCTTGAGCTCTTGTATCAAAGCACTACATATAGGCCTATATCAAAGCAGTGATTTCGAAGCAGTACAGCTCGTCCCGAAGGAGTCAATGCCCCAGTTATTATTTTCGTTTCTCACTAATAAATTCTATAACGATAACATGTTTGAATTTTGTGTAAACGAAGGAGTGGCAGTGGATGTATGTGTTCCTCAATTCTTTACTAACACCAAGGGCTTTGATTCCTCCATCTGCTGGAAGGAAGATGGTCAAGAGTATTTTAGAAAATTGAAGTCAGGAGAATGATTGTTATCACTTTGGAGTCCCTTAAAGAGAAGCCATTTTATCCAGAAGAAGCTAAAGTGTCGGAATTTACATTGGAGATCATTCAGAAACCTCTTTCAGGTATTGATTACAAATATTCTTGTAAATCTGCAGGTGTGCATGGTGAGAAAAAATTATTCTTTAATATAAAGTTGATTAAACATATTCTTAAAAATAGCTTTGGAAAAAACCTAATTTGTTGTATATGAAAGCAATACAGCTCATCGTATAGCTGTGTTCTGTGACCAAAAAAGTTGCTTAGAAAACGAAGTTTGTCGCCTCCCTTCGGGCACTACTTTAAAATTATATAAATTTATAGATTCTGATATGCCTGGCACGAATTTATTCATGCAAACCTGCAGTTTCTTTGTATTTTACGACCAAACATCATCATTTTCTATTAAAATTAGCAATATTTTCTTTTTGAAACTTCATGTTATACACAGTTATTGTACCAGTTCGAAAGGGGGAGAGGGGTGGGGGTATCACGCGGTTCATCTCAATATGAAATTGCAAAGATTCTTTAATCAAGAATTTTACAGATTCTAAACTTGTGTTGCTCAATTTTTTATCAACAACGAACAAGGAGCGCACGATATTCGATAGATCTTCAGGACCCAGATGTATTTTATTTAACACAAATTGACCATTGGCAGCAGTTCTTTGAAAAACTAGCTCATGCATGAAATCTGAACTTTTTCCTGTGGGGCATTAAGTGCTATGAGCATTAAGTGCTATCATACGTTTAAATTTGTTCGCGCTAAATCTTTCTATACACTTTTTTTATATCTAACCGGGAGGAGCTGCGAAAAATGGAAGTAATAGGCCCTTTGGCTTCGATTCCGGTATAATGCTCTAACGAGCTGTGCTACAGAGACCAATTGCTAAGCCTTAACCACAGATTCATGTATATATATAATCGAACCTGCCAGAGGGCATAAAGTTGCATTTTTTGCAACTGCTCCTGGTTGTTAGGTCTAAAAAAGTGTATAGAAATTTTGGTTCGAAAATTCAATCTAAAAAACCATTCACTATTAGTTGTATCGACGAGATTCCCAAAATGTCGATATAAGAATCTTTATCAATCTACTCTTTGCAATTTCATATATAATTCAACAATAAACCCAAAAGCTGATGCAATATATCTCACGCCACCGCTCTGCGAGATAAGTCCACATAACAGCGACTTTTTCTAATTTTTTGACGAATGATGTTAAATTTGCTTTGTAAATGGTTAGCTTATTCTGAAAAATTGCTTTTCACATTGTTTTAATTGTCTGCATTGGTTAACGAGAATTAGATGCCACCCAAAAATGGCGGATATTCGTCATCGTGAGAAAGGCTAATTATTGACGATATACTGCATATAACCGCGTGATAAGAGATTTGAACAAGTGCAATAATGTTATCGTAAAATACAAAGAAACTGCAGGTTTTCACGAATCACGAATGACAACAAGTTAATTCATACTCAACATATAAGAATCTATAGATTCATGTAGATTTAAAGTTGCGCCCGAAGGGGGGGTGGGGGGAACAGAACTGAAACCAAATACAGAATACGGCCTATTACGTATATCTCCGTAATGGATGGTTCAATTTTTCCTGTTACCATCCCCCCAAATGTACACCGACGGAATTTTGTTGAGCATCTGGTCCAGGGGGTATCCCGTGGGGGTAGGGGTTAGGAATACACATGTTCACAGGCGAGGGGCTTTGGACTCGTAGAAAAATGCAAAACATGGGCCCACTTGTTCGTGTGCAATTTTGCCCATGGGAGGGGAATTGGCTTTTCTTCATTTGCCCAGGGGTGGGGAATTGACAGTTTAGGAATAAAGAATACATAAATCCCTGAGGTGGGGAAGGGTAACAGGAAGCATCGAACCATGCATGATACAGACAATTCTCTGCTGCGTACGCCTTTCTAAACGGGCACCTCCTTAATATCAACGCCTTTCTAATAATGCAGACACCTTTCTATCTTTCGACACCTTTCCATCCTCCGCCGATCTTCCACACTGATACATGGAAAACGGATGCCTTCATCAATGAAAACGGAGCTTTTCGAAAACGGCTTTGAAAGTACGTGGAGACAACGCGGGCGCATATATTGGATCAGTGTGGACGGGCGAAAACGAAGGTTTTCAAAAACGCGGACGGCATGAACACAATCATGCGTGGTGAGTGTGTTGTTTTTACGAATTTCAGATGAATTGCATGGCTTTCTTAGTCTTGCACTGGATAAAATGATGATTAATCTGCAAGGATAACTTGCAATGACAACATAATACTCTACACTATGTCCAAGGTTATCACTTTATTTAATTGTGAGATTGTAAAGCCACTATAGAAGCTATATTATCGGCGACGTTTTTAGGTCCAACCTCGGTGAATTTGTCTCTTTCTCCGTAAAAATGTTCCAGGCCTTCTTGTACGATTTTTGCATGAATAACGGTAAAATAAATAAAGATCGAAATAATAAACAATATCGTTTTCTAAGTGCTAGTATGGTAAAAAACGACCCAAAAACGCTACTGTGGACGCAGATATTTGTATGCGTATTCGAAATATCAAAAACGAAGGAATTCGAAAACGGACTAGTGTGGACGTAGCCTACCTTCCTAATACGGATACCTCTCTAATATAAATACCTCCCTAATAGAGACACCTCTCTAGTACGGACAGTACTCTCATACAGAGACCTCTCCAATAGTGTTAATGTATATTCTGTATGAGGTACAGTATATTGTATAGTACTATAGGTAGCCATATATATGTACAGGGCCGCCAAGGAGTGGCAGGGGGAGGCAAAATGCCCCTCCCCCCCCTTAATATGGCTCCAACTTGACAGCGAGACCCTCAAATTGAGCAGGTTCTTTAAATTGGTCAGAGCATTTTTGAATTGAGGGCCCCTTACAGTTGCTCCACATGCAATATAGTTATAAGGTCTAGTTGGGTGACTGACTTGGGTCTAGCTTAAAAATGATGATGTCATAGGGTCCCAAAGAAGATTTGCCGCGGGCCCCGCGAATTATCCCGGTGGCACTGTACATGTATATAATTATGCTTTATTCTTATTCAGAAATTGTACGCCTTCTGAGAATGATTTATGTGGAGTTCAGGTATCCCTGGCATTCGCTTTTACCAAGCAGACCACAAAGGGTAGAAGACTGTTTAAAACATGGAGCAAACCCAAGCAACAGAGGAGGTTCGGGGGTAACTGCCCTAGTGCTAATGTGTGAGAATCTAAGGGAAATTTGGGGGATTCAACTGCGGCGGAACAGGTGGTGTCGTTACTCTTGGAGCACGGAGCTGAAGTGAATCAACAGGATTTTTATGGACGTGCTGCGCTTCATTTTGCGTTTCAATCCAGATATGACATTAATTCATATCCCTCAGAAAAAAAACCTTGCTCAAAAACAACGTGTTGTTCAAATCCTTATTCAGCACAATGCAAACATTTATGTAAACGATTTGTTTGGGGTTTCCGCCTTGACATGGCTGAGCGTCAGGGACACGACTCATGGTTTAAAAACCGACGAAGCATCATTGACGGGGATACGCTCATAGAAAAAAAAACCAGATCGTGCTCCGAAGAAAACTAAAGTCAACTTCAATCTGGACAAGTCCCTTATTCAAAAGAAAGCAAGACTCGTACGAGAAACTCTTTGTCTTTGGAAAACTTACATCTAGTAATAAAAATCTTAAACTTTCTCTAATACTTGGAACTCAAAAACTAATCTAAGCACCCAACGCAGGTATGAACTTTCAATGACCCAGACCAATCGTTAAATTTAAAAGACTCTTTATACCATCCATGCTATACCGTACTTATCGTCGTAATCAAGACAGTTGTGGTGTGTAAATAGCAAACATATAAGTAATTTTACTAGTGATGCACCAATATCGGTGTATCGGTTTATCGGTACTAAAATAGAAATATCCGTATCGGTAATTTTGTTGTTGATATTACCGATATCTAAGGAAACAAGTTAAATGAATTATTTATACCTAAAAAATACGAAAAATCAAAGTTTTGACTTGAAAGTATTGAAAATCAAAATCTAAAAGTGGAAACACTGTACACTATACTAGTTTGTTGCATGTTCCTTTTCCCGCCTTCCCAATGACAAAAAGGGAAACGCCCTGGGAACGAGGTTGCATTCATCTTGAAAGTATTGAAAATCAAAATCTAAAAGTGGAAACTGTATACAATATACTAGTTTGTTGCATGCATTTGCAGCATTTCATCTTGAAAGTATTGAAAATCAAAATCTAAAAGTGGAAACTCTATACAATATACTACAATCCTGGAAAAAAATTAGTAGACTTCTTAAATTTTCAAACTTTGTCCCCCTCCCCCCTTATACAATGTTGGTATTTACGTGACATGTGTTGCAAATCCACTTTACCTCAACCAACATTGTTTCGGGCGGGGGGGGGAGGGGGTAATTAAAAGAAATAGTTGCTTTAATTGAAAAATTCTCACATTTTCATCATATGTTTTCAAATTTGGGTGTATTTTTCGAAAAGTCTACAAATATTTTTTCCAAGATTGTAGCTGTCTATAAATATACGTTGTAGAGTCATAAACATCCGTTGTGTAGTTGTGTTCATTTTTTGTCGCACTCTAGACTTTTCTGCGTGTTGAATTAATGTTTTGATTTTTGTATTAAACGACTCTAAAATTTGGCTTCCAAAATTTGGCCGACCCGGCGGATTTACACAATCAATATGTTGTAGTAAACGACTCGAAAACCCCAAAATTTGGACCCGACGCGAATTTGTACAAAATAGTGGAATATAAGCAAACACAAGTTAAAGGTTCTACAGTTTATTTTGATTTATTGTATGGTTCTCATTTGCCTAATACAATAACATTTAGTTCACACTTCACAATACAATATAAACAAGGGCAAGTTAAAGGTTTGACCATATTAAAATACATGTATTGAAATTCGCGCAATGGCTACTAGAATTCGCGCAAGTAAAGATAAAGCGAGCGTTCAAAATACCAAAAAGAACTAGGACATTTACTGTATGGTTCTCATTTGCTTAATAGAATACAATCGCTACCAAATTTTGTATTTTACTAATTTTAGTATGCTCTTTCAGTAGCTGTGGTGATTTATTTGCATCTCCTTGCTAGTTTTAAAATTAGTCTATAATGGGAATTGTCTATTAATTACCAATATATAGCATTTGACATTTGTATATTCATAAATTTCATGTAGTTTTAAAAGCAATTACTGTTAAAAATTTGAGAAGTGTACAATATATATAGCTAGCACTAGTTGTATATTCATAAATTTGTGGTTTTAAAAGTAGTTACTGCCAAAATTTTGTGATGTTTTAGTTGTCCATTAAAGTTAAAGAACACTGAAAATATCAGCACTATGGAGGCAAGTTTGTTCTGTAGACCACGATGTATGTTTATAATCACGTCTAATTAAAGAACTCATTTGATAGTCAACCAACCAGATGTCATTTCCCATGCTGGATCCGCAGACTACCA